TGGGTGGTGGGCAGCTCCCCGGCCAGCGCCGCGTGCTGTGACTGAGCCGGAAGCAGCTCGTCCACCGAGTCCCTCTCCCGCAGAGGCCGCTAGAGTCGCCAACATGTCGTACATGCTCCCGCACTTGCACAACGGCTGGCAGGTGGACCAGGCCATCCTTTCGGAAGAAGACCGGGTGGTCGTCATCCGGTTCGGGCACGATTGGGACCCTACGTGCATGAAAATGGACGAGGTTCTGTACAGCATCGCGGAGAAGGTACCGCATGCGCTGCAGTCGGCTCGGTGTCTGCTTTCTTTTGCTTTGCCAGTTGACAGGAAAATTTAAAAATGAGGTTAAAAGCTGGCTTCCACACTCATTGTTCATGCCCTAAAGTTTAATGCGCCAGCAAATAAAGAGAAGATGTAGGATTGACCTGGTGATGTGAGGACGAGCTCCCTGAAATTGTACACAATAGGTTATGCCTTTTTCTTCTGGGAGAAGTTGCCATACGTTACAGAAAAGTTAATGGTCCCTCTCTCTAGATAAATCACTTAATTCCTAGTGATAGGGTGTTTTTTCAAGATTTGCATCTATGGTAGTAAGAACACAATATTTTTGCATACTTTGGCAAGTGTTGGAGCTCCTTTTAAATAGCTTAGCTTAAAAGGATTGTCCTTTTTTTTGGTATCATGTTTATTTGTTGTATTTATAAAGCCGAACATGTATGTTAATAGCATAGTAGCTCTTCTTGTCGTTTTTTGTTTTGTTTTATAACAGATGATTTAAATGCAGGGGCTTGTTTGCTGACAGTAAGTAAGGGTGCAGTTGTAGGGTGTTTCTGTGTAACCAGAGCATTAATTCTTTTTAAAATTCCTCATTTTAAGAGAACTTTTAATTTGGATTTTTGCAATTCTAACAGTAGGGCAAAAGGCACATATATTAGGGTGTTAATGAAATGATTAACTTACTACTGTTTGATGAGTGATTTGAAAGGTCATTTGAAGAGTAAAAGTGGAAACACTGAAACCATCTTTTCTTTCTTCCTTTTCCCCCCCCAAATATATTTTATTGATTTTTTACAGAGAGGAAGGGAGAGGGATAGAGTTAGAAACATTGATCAGCTGCCTCCTGCACACCCCCTACTGGGGATGTGCCTGAAGCTAAGGTACATGCCCTTGACCAGAATCGAACCTGGGATCCTTCAGTCCGCAGGCCGATGCTCTATCCACTGAGCCAATCCGGTTAGGGCCCATCTTTTCTTTCATGGGAATAGGAGATGGTAATATTGGCTGGGTTAAAATAACACCTGTGAGTAAATAATAACAGAGTATATATTTAGTACTTAGGAAAGAAAAGCTGATTTTTACTACCTCCTATTTGGAAGGAGAGGCAGAGTGATGTAGGGGTCATGACATTGTGGACCTTAGGGACTGTTCTTCCATATCTGTCATCATAAGTACCACTTGGCATACTTACCAAGTGCATCGCAGAGATTCTGATTGTATGGGTCTGGGTGAGGTTCAGAAACGGCTTCACAATTCCCAGAAGCTGCTCTGGGAATTATAGTGTGACTTTCAGAAACCTCTCAACAGAGGTCTGGGTCCAAGTATGAGTGCTGTACTTGTCAGACATGCCCAGGACCCTGAGGAGCTTGGGGAGGTAGGTGACTGGGGAACCCAGGAGAGAGAGCCTTGAATGAGGTGGTGCCAGGGAATCATTTATTCATTGTTTAAGCTACTGTATAGTGGTCAAGGGCAGATACTGCTGAATTCAGCGAAGACTTTACCAAGTACCTTTCCGATAAGCAAATCACTAGCATGTTGACTTTGAAATAACCTGGGTGTGTGTTCTGGATTCTACCTTGCAGGTGGTGGCATAATCACCAGGTGATGTCCAGATCTGCCCTCAGCACCAGGTTAGGATGGCTAGAGACGTAAGGGTTGGTTGGCTTTTCATGTCTGAGCAAAACTTGGCAAGATGCTCTTAGCTAGGAGACATATTTTATGTGTTAACGTAAGTTTTTAGGGACTTTTACCAGAGTGGTTCTTTTCTAATGCCTTTATGTCAGACCGAATTGCTGTGTCACTAGTGGACATACTCTTCTTGTATTGAACCTGTTAATAAGGGCAGTTTAATTAGGCTCACTTTGACTATTTTCCTTTAGTCTTTTTAGTTACCCTTTTTTCTTTTGTCCAAAAATGTGGATTTTTATTTTAATAAACTTTCAATATTGTATTATAATATAGCTATTCAAAATGCAAACTTGAAATGCATTATAAGACTTTTAACATTTTGCTTTCTTCTGAGTATAAGGGCAAAATATGAGTTTATAAATCTGGAAGTTCTTTTGGGGAAGCTCAACAGAAATTTTTGAGATTGAAGGTTTTAGTATAAAGAACAACTTAACTCTATTTAAAAATCTCCCTCTGCAGAAATGGCAGATAATGGGGGATCTTCCTCATCTTGTTACGAGCCCTGTTTGGATATCCCAGCTGTTTTAAAGTGAGTAAAAGTTCCTGGGTTGAGGCTGGAATGTGGTGTATTGACTTGATGCTCTGACAGTGCCAACCCCTCTTCGTGCTGGGTTAGTTTTGAGCTATACTGAAACAGAGATATGCTTACCAATTTTACAGCTGTCTGGAATTTGGCAGAGTGGTAATAACAAAGTTTTCTGTTTAGCAGCTGATTTTATGCACAGCTTTGAAGAGAGACTGTTTTGTGCCCCTCTGAGCTGTCTGCCATTCTGTAGGAACAGTTTGTCACAGCTCAGTTTCCTAAATTCCACGATGGTTAAGAATAAGTGGGACATTTAATTTTTGTGTTAAAAAGCCCATACAAGTAGAGTTTAAAATATGTAGAACCTCAGTGATATTGACTGGTGATCGTACATTCTAGATGAAATTATATGTAAGGCAAATACATTGATGAAACTTTTTAGGAATGACTGGGGGGTCTTTCTGAAGCATCACATCAAGTAAGTGAACCAGTGGAAGTTGGTGCTCAGTCTGAGAAATCGATAGGAACCAGCAGAAGGCATGTTTTTGTATTCACTCTGGATTTGTGTCTCTGCATATAATCACCTTGCAGCAAGCAGCTATGGGAGGCAGGATTGAGCAGTGGTTATGGGCCCAGACTGAGCTGGATTCTGCCACCTACTGCCTGCATGACATTAAATAACTCGTCTGTAAGAAAGGGATACCAGTGCCAGACTCATAGGTGGTTGTGAGGGCAGAGTTAATATCAAGTAGTATATTCAGTGATCATTAGCTACCATTATTATTACTATCTCACATCACAAAATTTGCAACAGTTACTGTAAATAGAGCTAATCAGGGCACATAGTTTTTTGTTTTATTTATTTATTTGTG